ATATATTTATATATATATATATATATATATTTATATTCATTCATTTATTATCTCTCATCTTAACATTTCATTTACCTTCATTCATTTATTATTTGATAGGCTATTTGTTACTGGTCTCCTATCTCAACACATATTTTTTGTTTGTTTGTTCCTGGTGTCTTATGTATTTTTGACAGTATTTTTTATATTTCATGTCTACAGGGAATCATTAAGTTGGATCACCCACGAATCCACGTCGACTTCCCTGTCATCCTGTGTGAAATATAAGCACACAGACTCTAGGAGCGTCACAATCACCCTAGACTTCCTTCCACCTTCGGTGTTCTTCTGAGAGGATTCTGTTACGACAGCGAGGGTGTTCTGCCCTTCACGTGGCTTTGACCAAAAACATGAATCATATTTTCTGATTTGTATTCTGGTGGACATGCGGTGTCTTGTCTTCTGTGATGTACAGTAAGGAATGCATGTGCGATGAGAGTGTGTGAGTATGGAGCCTAAAGCAGTGCAGGGATTGTACAGAAATCACTAGGAAAACTTGAAATCGCATCATGACCCCTTTAATGTGACTTAAATAGAGGTTTACAATGAATGCATTAGCTAATTATAAACTGATTATTCAAACACAGACCTTTACAACTTAAATCAAGTATAAAAAGATCTAGATGCAATGACTGATTAAGTTTAAAGGAAGGATATATTGTGATCATTTTCAGGCATACAGCATTGAGGGTCTCTGGGACATTAAAACAGTGCACAGTCAGTCTCATAAAGTTTAATAATTGCATTCATGTCTGTAAACCTTCTGGGTACTTTGGAAAATAACTGGTGTTGATGCACAGGCGAGGCGCTCAGTAGGTTATGCAACGATAAATCTATATGGAAGCCATATAGCGCGCGCTGCACATACAGACAGACGTGCAAATGAGCATTACAGTCCTCGTGCAACCATTTAAAGCAGAACCAAGCATTCACTTACATGCACTTACAGGAAAATAATGGTGTGATGCGCGCTGTTCTGTTCGGTGGCCCCACCTCCCGCACGATCTCTGCTGACTGAATTAGAGCGCAACCGACCGTCTACCAATAAACCACGGTCTAATTCCGAGGTAAAGAGACATCTACTTGTGGAAAAGAGCGAAATTAACTCTGTCGCTTCCGATCGTATCGAGGGAGACGCGGAATAGATGCGATTAAAGCGAGTTCAGGAATAGCCGCCTGTCACTGGAATAAAAGGCCAATGGAAAAGCGGGATGAGCCGCAGGTTGATGGGAAGAGAGGCGGATCTCACGAGCCATATGCTGCATATAATGACTGTGACAAATTACTGGCAACTTCAAGACAAATAAAAGAAAAAAAGAGAAAATAAATAAATAAAATAAATAAATCTTCATGCTTCTTTAAATAATATAATAAAAATAATATACAAACAGCTGCACAATAAATATATAAATAAAATAAACTACAGAGATAGATAGATAGATAGATAGATAGATAGATAGGTAGATAGATAGATAGATAGATAGATAGGTAGATTAGATAGATAGATAGATAGAGAACGCATGCAAATTATTTATACCAAGTATATTTAAACAAAAAAAATAAAATAAAAGTATAAAAATAATAATATAATAATGACTAAAATGAATAAAAAAAACAAAGCCGTCAAGCTTCTTTTAAAAATATAATATACACATGGCTTAGCAAAAAAATTAAAAAATATTAAAACTACATATGCCTAGATGATAGATAGATAGATAGATAGATAGATAGATAGATAGATAGATAGATAGATAGATAGATAGAGAACGTCTAACATGAAAATAAAATAATAATATTAAATTAAAAGTAATAAATTACTTTAACTTTTTAAATAAATAAAAACAAAAAAAGCCTAAATTACAAAAAATAAATAAGTCGTCATGCTTGTAATATAATATAATATAATATAATATAATATAATATAATATAATTGTATATTATTTCATTAAAAAAGAAAAGAAATAATAATACGTGACTGGAGCAAGGGGCTCTGTGACTGGGCGCGTAAATGTGACGTTGTCAAACTACGTCATTGTGCTTGAAGACAGCAGACTAGAAGAATCAAAACAATGAGATTTACATGATCTGTATGTATGTGTTTTATGTTATCTTTTATTTGAATGTCTTCTGGAATGAACCCGAATCGAACCGATGAACTGAAACGCGTGGTAGTCGTGTTTTGTTGTGTGTTGAATGGCTGTGAATGGCTTATGTGTTGTTTACATTGCAAACAACTCTAGAACACACAGCCTTATTAGTGCAATAACATTTTGAGAAAAAAATACGTGCATTCGTACTGCAAATATATTGGATTCCAAAGACTTGTAAATAGTGGTTAGTTGTGAGAATAATGCTGGTTAAAGTGACGCTCTTCAGGCATAATCAGATAGCTAGCCTGCTAACTAACTGGGATTACAGCTTTAACCAGCGGATCTGTGTTTGCTGGTGTATCAACAGATGATGAAAACTATTTGCTATTTTTAACATGCTTTATTCAAATAGTAGATTATTTTGTAAAATATGTGTATGATTGTGTTTTATATACATTATACATATATATATTAGTGCTGTCAAACGATTAATCGCGTCCAAAATAAAAGTTTCTGTTTACATAATATATGTGTGTGTGTGTGTGTGTGTATTTATTATGTATATATAAATACACACACATACAGTATATATTT